CATAAAAGTTATAAAAACACTAACAACACACCACTATAGTAGCAGAACCAGACTTCTACACTTCTTCCTCTTCTAATAAAAGGAACTTAAATATGCCAAAATAAAAACCAAAGAACGCCTTTTAAAGCCCAAAGCTAACTCCACCCTAGCAAGGCTGAGTGGTCCTTCTCTATCCAGTAGCTGGTGCCCTGCAGATTCCCTGTCCTTCAGTGAAAACGACGGCACATCCTCCCATCCTGCACGGCCACTCCACCCTGGCCCAGCCACACACTGATGGGCTCCTACTAGGGCTGTGGTGCTCGAGCATAAAGTTATTCTCACCAAAGCTCTTCCTGCACATGGACTTGCCTCTAGTGTAGGGTGACCAGATGTCCCCCTTTTGAACAATTTGTCCCAAGTCGCACGGCGTTTTAAAAAAGTCACGATTTGGCTCGGCGCCTGTGACTCAAGTGGCTAAGGCGCCAACCACATACACCTAAGGTGGCGGGTTCAAATCCAGCCTGGGCCACCAAAACAACAATGATAGCTGCAACCAAAAAATAGCCGGGCGTTGCGGCGGGCGCCTGTGGTCCCAGCTACTTGGGAGGCGGAGGCAGGAGACTCACTTGAGCCCAGGAGTTGGAGGTTGCTGTGAGCTGTGATGCCAGAGCGCTCTACCCAGGGGGACAACTTGAGGCTCTGTCTCAAAAAAAAAGTCCCGATTTTTGGAAAGAATGTACTAATGGGTGGGAGAACAGGAAGGGAATACCATTTTCGGCTGCCATGTGGCTATTTTGCCAGAATATGAGTTTTATATTATTTTTGTTAATTTTATAATGTTAAACTGTAATAATAACAAATAATTGCTGAGAAGTGATTATCGAGAACTGCTTATCAAAGTTTGCATTGTTGTCAGGCCCTGCCCCGCCCCCCGGCCATGTTGTCCCGCCTTACCGCTGTTAAAAATCTGGTCACCCTACTCTAGTGCTACTGTGGTTTGTGAAATCGCCGCCCTGGCCCATGAACTGGGGGATGATGCGGTGGAAGCTGCTTCCCTTGAAGCCGAAGCCCTTTTCATGGGTGCACAGGCAACGGAAGTTCTCTGCGGTGGGGAAAGGAAAAATGCTGAGGTAAAAAATATCTAACTAAATACCTAAACTAGAATCTAAAAAAGTACCTATTACCCTTATTTAAATTAAATATTCGGCTGGACATAGAGGCTCTTGCCCATAATCCTAGCACTCTGCCAGGTCAAGGTAGAAGGATCATTTGAGGACAGCAGTTTGCAACCAGCCTGACCAGAGCAAGACCCTGTCCTAAAAAGCAAAAAAAGAATTAGCTATCTAAATTTTCTTCTTTAAAAAAAAAAAAAATTACAAGTACAAGAAGGACAACATGGGTTAGATTCCTCTACACTCTATACTCTGGGTGTAAGAAAAGACTTTGTCTCAAAATCCAAGTGCAGGCCAGGTGAGGTGGCTCACACCCAGAAGTTTGAGGTTGTTGTGAGCTAGGCTGATGCCATGGTATTCTAGCCTTGACAACAGAGTAAGACTCTGTCTCAAAAAGAAAGAAAGAAAGAAAGAAACTTGCATGGGTGAATCAGAAAAAAACACTGTTGATGTTTCCCAATGATGGGAAATACCCTTTGGAGCTGCCTCGCCAAAGTTTACACCACTGTTGAGAATCAGCCACAATTCACAACTGGTCCATGTTGGGATAGAAACACCTCTCACCTCAATTCAGGACCACTCTAAAGGGACATCCAAGCTCTAAAACTCTACCTGGGCTCAGCTGAGGTCTCTCTGTGACTACAGGACAATTCAAATACTCTCTGCCCAATCTGCTCCCCTCGTTCTCTCATAGGAGTTGTTCCTGACAACTTTCCAACACACTTCTTGCATGCAATTCTCCATGAGTCTGTTTCCCAGAAAAACAAACAAAAAGATCAAGTAGTAGTAACACCAGTACCGTTTTCAGAGACACAGCAATAAAAGTCAAACAAATGTTGGTTGCTTCAGGTAGAGCAGAAAAATGATGTTGAGGATAGCAGATGAAAGTCCTGTTTTATTACAATGATTTAATTAATTAATTAATTAGAGACAGAGTCTTACTCTGATGCCCAGGCTAGAGGTCTGTGGCATCATCATAGCTTACAGCAACCTCAAACTCTTACCTCAGCCTCCCAAGTAGCTGGACTATGGGTGCCTCTCAGCTCAGTTTTTCTATTTTTAGTAGAGACAGGGTCTCATACTTCCTCAGATTGGTCTCTCCTGTGCTTGAGTAATCCACCCACCTTGGCCTCCCAAAGTTCTAGGATTACAGGCGTGAGCTACCACGCCCAAACTGAATGATTTTTTAAAAAATTATGTGCAATTATGATTTTGCTAAACACAAAAAGCTAGATTATAACAGAAAAAGATATGGGTAAAAAGGATCATTATAAATACTCAAGAAAATAGGAAACATAGTAAAGTATGGGAGTGACCTAGGCATAGTGAGGAGAAAAAAATTTTAGCTTTTAATTTACATATAAATGTATTTTTTGAGACAGAGTCTCACTTTGTCACCCTTGGTAGAGTGCTGTGGCATCACAGCTCACAGCAACCTCAAACTCTTGGACTTAAGTGATTCTCTTGCCTCAGCCTCCCAAGTAGCTGGGACTATAGGTACCTACCACAATGCCCAGCTATTTTTTATTACAGTTGTCATTGTTATCTAGCTGGCCCGGGCCAGGTTTGAACCTGTTAGCCCTGGTGCTATGGGCACTGAGCCTTAATTTATATTTTTTAAAATAGTAACTTTCCAGGCGGCGTCTGTGGCTCAAAGGAATAGGGCAACGGCCCCATATGCGGGAGGTGGCAGGTTCAAACCCAGTCCCAGCCAAAAACTGCAAAAAAAAAAAAAAAAAGAAAAATTGCTAAAAATCACTGTAAGTGAGAATACTGGGATAATATTCTGCTGAAATCTGAATATGGAAGGTTAAAGTGTTGCGTCACAGAAGGCCAGGCATGGTGACTCACTGCTGTAATCCTAGCAGTCTGGGAGGCCGAGGTGGGTGAACTGCCTGCGCTCAGTAGTTCTGGGCCAGCTTGAGCAAGAGCAAGACCCTGTCTGTAAACCTAGCCAGACATGTTGTGGGCACTTATAGTCTCAGCTACTCAGGAGGCTGAGGCTAAAGAACTCCTTGAGCCTGGGAGTTTGAGGTTACTGGGAGCTATGATGCCATAGCACTCTACCAAGGGTGACAAAGTGAAACTCTATACCCAAAAAAAAAAAAAAAGTAAAAAGGCATGTATGTCAAGGTTAAATTTCATGATTTTGATAGTGTACTATGATTACGTGAGGGAATATTCCTGTTCCTTGGAAATATAGGGCTGGGCAAGGGGGCTTAGGCCTGTAATACTTTGGGAGGCCAAGAGTTCAAGACCAGCCTAGGTAATACAGCAAGACCCTATCTCTTCAAAAAATGAAAAAAATTAGCCAAACATAGAGCATGATGGTGCCTGCCTATACTCCCAGATACTCAGAAGGCTAAAGCAGGAGGTTGTCTGAGCCCAGCTGTTTGAGGTTGCAGTGAATTATAGTGACATCAATGCCCTTTCGCCTGGCTGAGTGAGACCCTGTGTCAAATTTAAAAAAAGGAAATACATATTGAAGTATTAGAGAGTAAAGAGGAATGAAGTCTTCAATTTCTTCTCAAGTGGAACAGGGAAAAAATATATGCATACACGTATGAATATGTATATAGGTATGTAAATAACATAATAAAGCATGGAGGCAAAAAGTCAATTACTGAATGGGTACAGGACATATGAGAGTTCCTTGAACTACTCTTATAGATATATACAATAAGAATCCACTAAGTGTGAAAATATATCAAAATTGTTACAAAAAGAAAATTCTATAAAACCAAATCAGAGGATAATTGAAACCATTTATAACTTTCAATTGTTTACTCTTTCTGATGGTTCTCCAAGCCTTTATAAGAGCTTCAGAAACGCCTGTTCTGCCTCATTTGTTACTAGATGCTGGGATCTCAGACAGCCTGAGGTTGCAACAGCGTCAAGGGCCTGGGGTGCTAGCCATCAGTTTCCCACCATCTTGACCAAGGAGTCCTGCTCACCGCTGTTATGGGCATAAAGCCAGAACACAGGAGCACCCGAATGTGGCTACTTGGCTCATTTGGAAATCTTGGATGTTTGTGTACATCCAAAGCTTTGATTGGGCCTTTGTTTGGTTTTTGTTTTTGAGATAGTCTCAGTATGTCACCCTCGGTAGAATGCTGTGGGGTCACAGCTCACAGTGACCTCCACCTCTTGGGCTTAAGTGAATCTTTTGCCTCAGCCTCCCACAAAGCTGGGGCTACGGGTGTCTACCACAACATCCAGCTATTTTTTGGTTGCAGTTGTCACTGTTGTTCAGCTGGCACGGGCAGGGTTTGAAGGTGCCAGTCTCAGTGTATGTGGCTGTGCCATAACCACTAAGCCTTGACTGGGCCTTTTTTGCAACACATCCCCCCAAGGTACAGAAGAAACTGGTAGGTATTTATGCAAATTCAATGGAAAGAATGTCTGAGTAAAAATTAATTTTATAAGTAACCAGTTCATAGTGCTATTTTTTTTTTTTTAGACAGTCTCACTATGTCACCCTGGGTAGAGTGTCATGGCATCACAGCTCACAGCAACCTCAAACTCCTGGGCTTAAGCAAGTCTCTTGCCTCAGTCTCCCATGTAGCTGGGACCATGGGGCGCCTGCTACAACACCTGGCTGTTTTTCTGTTGCAGTTATTATTAGTGGGCCCAGGCTGGGTTCGAACCCACCAGCCTCAGTGTAAACACTGTGCTACAGGCACAGAGCCCATAATGAATATTTTCAAACAATGACAACTTTTGCTTGCTATATAATTTTGAAATTGTAGAAACTAGAAACATATGAGTATGTACATGAAGGTTCTTTATACTGAAAGGTAGTACCAAATGACAGCTTCAGTGAAACAACAAAAGATCCTTAAGCCATACCTGCTATCCACAGCTGTTTCAACACCCTGTCAAAAGAAGACAAGGAAAAAGTTCTTATCTATAGTTCAATTCTTATAGTTAGTGCTCAAATTAAAACTCAGGAGCATAAGCACACAAAGACACATCTTCCCCTCCTACAGTACGCCAGACTGTACGTATTTAACAAAGCACGTGCTAAATGCTTATTAGAGCTAGTACTGTAAAGACATGCTCACCAGGCGATGGACACAGAGAATATACCCAGGAAAACAGGAAGGAGTAATCCCAGGCCAGAGGGCTCAGGCAAATGCAGGACCTGTCTTTATATTCTGACTACAAGAGGGGAACTCTGAGCCATGCCTGGAGGGCCTTCCTTCAACCAGAACTTCCTATCTCTCTGCAATTGACACTACCAAGCCACTGTAGTGGGCTGAAAAGCATCCCCCCAAAATTTCACATCTACCTAAATTTCAGAGTGTGATCTCATTCAGATGTAGGGTCTTTGTGGATATAACTAGTTAAGCTACAGTCATAGTAGGCTGTTATGAGCCCTCAATCCAATGATTGGTATCCTTGCAAGAAAAGGCACAAAGAGACAGACACATGTGAAAAAAGAGGCAGAGATTAGAACAATGCTACAAGCTAAAGAATTGTGAGGAGACACCAGAAGCTCGGAAGAAGCATGGCAAGATTCTTCTTCAGAGCCTTCAGAGAGAGCATGGCCCTGTCAACATCTTGATTTTGGACTTGGCATCTGTAGCTCAAGTGGCTAAGGCCCCAGCCACATACAGCGAGCTGGCAGGTTTGAATCCAGCCTGAGCCTGCCAAACAATGACAACTACAACCAAAAAACAGCCAGGCATATGGCAAGTGCCTGTAGTCCCAGCTGCTTGGAAGGCTGAGGCAAAACAATAGCTTAAGCCCAAGAGCTGGAGATTGCTGTGAGCTGTGATGCCACAGCACTCTACCCAGGGTGATTGCTTAAGGCTCTGTCTCAAAAAAATAAATCTTGATTTTGGACTTCTATTCTCCAGAGCTGTGAGTGAATACATTTCTATTGTTTCAAGCCACCCAAGTTTGCGGTCATTTGTTATGGAGACCCCAAGAAACTACTACACCTACCCAAACGGAGTGGCACCATCTATAACCAATGACAAGACTGTCACTAGTCAAACATTAAATGGAAAATTTCTTACCTCTGCCAACGCAAATTCAACGAAAGAGAATCCCTGGTGCTGTTCTACAAAAGCAGAAACGAGTTGTTGACGTGTGAGTAATGGGAGGAAAATGCCATATCCAGATGACATTTAGAAAGTGAAAACTGGATTTTCAAATCTGTCTTGGTTTATTCAATAATGTTTCCAGAAATATTAGGTATTTTGTTTGCCTAAATAATAAACATAGCTAGATAACAAACTAACTTTTTAAACTTTGCCGTATCCAATTCTACCCCTACAGAATTTAAGCCTACAGCTGCTTTCCAAACATTTTGATAAGCTTTGTTTACAAAAGGCTGTTTTCTAATAATCAGTCATCTAATTGAGCATTAATTATGTATAGAGCATTGACCTTGCTTTTTTCTTTTCTTTCTTTTTCGCAGTTTTTGGCCAGGGCCGGTGCCCTACTCCTTTGAGCCACAGGTGCTGCCCCAGAGAACTGACTTTCTTCTAAGTTAGGTGACTACTTAAGAAGAAGCATAGTCCTTGTCCTCAAGAGAAGTTATTTTAGCTGGGGGAAACTAAGAACAATAAGAATAACTAATTTATAGGCCAGGCACGGTGGCTCACAACTGTAATCCTAGCACTCTGGGAGGCTGAGGCAGGTGGATCGCCTGAGCTCATGAGTTTGAAACCAGCCTGAGCCAGAGCAAGACCTTGTCTCTAAACATAGCCCAGGGTTGTGGCAGGTACCTGTAGTCCCAGCTCCTAGGGAGGCTGAGAAAAAACAAAAAAAAGGAATTACTAATTTACAAAACTCAAGAGTAGAAGCCCCCCTCCCCCACCAAAAGCCAGTACTGCCCTTGTATTTAAAATTTGAAGAACTCGGCTTGGCGCCCGTAGCTCAGCAGCTAGGCTGCCAGTCACATACATCAGAGCTGGCAGGTTCAAACCCAGCCCAGGCCTGCCAAACAACAATGACAATTACAACAATAACAATAACAAATAGCTGGGTGTTGTGGCAGGCGCCTGTAGTCCCAGCTACTTGGGAGGCTAAGGCAAGAGAATTGCTTAAGCCAAAGAGTTGGAGGTTGCTATGAGCTGTGACACTATGGCACTCTACAGAGGGTGACATAGTGAGACTGTCTCAAAAAAAAAAAAAAAAATTGAACTCAAGGTCAAAGAGTTTGTGTCTACTCAGAAAGTTAGCAGCAGAACAGGGTCTAAAACCTATCTTATTAGAACAAACAAATATTCAAACAGAAACTTGCACTTTAATTGGGATACCAGGTGAAGAAATATTTACCCAGGTAAGCAGAGGCCAAGGTTCTACTGCAGAGGTTGAGCTCCCCACCAGCCCTCTGCTTATTTAATTGTACAAATGCCAAGAAGGGCGGTCAGGTGTGCAGGAAAGGTAGGGTACAGCTACCTAGGAGGTAGTGTGTCAAAAGATTTTCCTAGGACTTTCTTCCTACTGATTCCTACTATACAGTTATTACATTAATACTCAGAAATAAGGCTGAGCACAGTAGTTTATGCCTATAATTCTAACACTTTGGGAGGCTGAGGTGAGAAGATAACTTGAGCCCAGGAGTTGGAGACCAGTCTGGGCAATAGCAAGCAAGACCCCCATCTCCACAAAATACAAAAAAAAATTAGCCAGACATGGTGGTACATACCTGTAATCCCAGCTATTAGGAAGGAAGAGATAGGAAGATCCCTTGAGCCCAGGAGTTTGAGGTTGGAGGGAGCTATGGTGATGCCACTGCACTCTGTCCTGTTTTGAAAAGAAAAAGAAAGAGAAAAAGAAAAAGAAGAAAGAAATCAATGTCCCCGAATGGTTCCAAAGTGATGAAAGTCTTTCCTCAAATCCAACAGATTGTCAACCTCTGTAAATTTCAGCCCATAACCACACCATCCTGTGTGGTCCTCAACATTCCTTTTCTATCACCAAGATAATAGTCATATTGTTTTGCACTTCATCATACAGAATGTCCATAAAGTTCGTGAGTGATTTAAAAGAGTTGTCTAGGCGGGGCCAGTAGCTTACGCCTGTAATCCTATAAGCACTTTGGGAGACCAAGGTGGGTGGATTGCCTGAATTCACAGGTTTGAGAGCAGCCTGAGCAAGAAAGAACGAGACTACATCTCTAAAAAAATAGCCAAGTGTTGTGGTGGGCTCCTGTAGTCCCAGCTATTTGGGGAGACTGAGGCAAGAGGATACTTGAGCCCAAGAGTTTGAGGTTACTGTGAGCTATGACTGTGCCACAGCTCTCTAGCGCTGAATAAACTCTGTCCTTCACTCTTGCAAGCTCACCTACAAAGACACCAAGAGCATACTGAACCAGTATTTCTCTCTCTCTCTTTTTTTTGTAGAGACAGAGTCTTACTTTGTCGCCCTCGGTAGAGTGCCATGAAGTCACAGCTCACAGCAACCTCCAGCTCTTGGGCTTAGGCGATTCTCTTGCCTCAGCCTCCCGAATAGCTGGGACTAAAGGTGCCCACCACAATGCCTGGCTATTTTACTGTTGCAGTTTGGCTGGGGACGGCCCGCCACTCTCGCTATATGGGGCCAGTGCCCTACTGGCGCCGCCCCTGAACCAGTATTCCTATACTCTTGGTGCAGATGCTGCAACACCCTGTTAATATGAGCAGGGTGTGGAAAAAGAGAGGTGCCACAATACCCCTTTGGGTGTACAAAATCACTTGGGAGGTACACTCCTTTCCCTATTCCTCTCCAGATCTACACCATGCTCCTAGTAACAGTGATGGTTTCCTAAATGGGCTCACTGGTTCCAGTTTCTCTCTGACAGTCAACAAAATGACCCCAAGAAACTATAAATCCTATTCATCACTCTTCTGCTTGGTATTCTTCAAAAGCTGGCCAATGCCCAAAGGACAAAGTCTACGTTTCTTAGTATGGTATATAAGACTTTCCTAATCCAAGCCCTGCCCTCCTCTGGCCTGTTTTCTTCTTGCTTCCCCAGTGCAAACTACCCCCAAGTGCCAGGCTACTCTACATCTCTGGGTTTTTGCTCTTGCTGCTCCTTTCCATTTGGGCAACAGCTTTGCGCCCACCTTGGCTGCCTGGCTAATTCTAGATCTTTCAAATTCATCTCTGGCGTCAGAGCATCCTGGAAATTTACCCTGACCTCTGCGGATGGGGTGGTCATTCCTCATCCTCACTGTTCGTCATACAACTGCATCATAGCCTCACCAACCCACGCAGTGAGGCTGTCTCCATAATTTCCCTGCTATTCTGGTACACTCGTCCCTCTAGGGCGCCAGAGCGTGGAGTTTATCAAAACGGTGCCAGAACTTGAGATGGGGCCTGAGGTCACAACAACAGCTCGCAACAACCTCTCTGAGCCTAGGGTCAGAAGGCGCAGGGGAAGGTTGACAGTGGCGGTACTTCTGCACTCCCTGTCAGCGCTGCTCACAGGCTAAGTAAAACCTCATAGGCCGCAGGGAGGCGCACAGGTCCACCTTGAGTCTACCATGCGCGAAACGGGTCCAGACTGCACCCAATCTACCATGCGCAAAACACAGTCCGCACTGCACCGAGTCTAACCATGCGCAAAATATGGTCCCCACTGCACCGAGTCTAACCATGCGCAGAACACGGTCCGCACTGCACCGAGTGTATCATGCGCAAAACACGGTCCTGACCGGACGGAGTCTATCATGTGCAGAACATGGTGTGGATGCACGGAGTCTACCATGCCCGAAACACAGTCCGGATGGCATCTAGTGTACCACATGCGAAACACAGTGGACACTGCACCCAATTTATCATGTGCAAAACACGGTCCAGACCGCACTGAGTCTACTATTTTGGAAACAACGATCCAGACCGCACCCAGTCTACCACACGCGAAACATGGTCCGGATGGCACCTAGTCTATCATGCGCAAAACATGGTGCGCATGGCACCCAGTCTACCATGCGCTAAACACGGTCCAGACCACACCCTGTCTACCATGCGCAAAACACGGTGCACCCCGTACACCCTGTACCCCGTCTACCATGCGCCGAAACCCGGTTACCCAGTCTACCATGCGCGAAACACGGTCCAGACCACACCCAGTCTACCATGCGCAAAACACAGTGCGCACTGCAGTCTACCATGCGCAAAACCCGGTTTCCCAGGCTACCATGCGCGAAACATGGTCCAGACCACACCCATGCGCATAACATGTCCTGCGCAGCACGCAGTTGACCATGCGCGAAATCCATACCCAGCGTGCTCTGCGCGAAGCGCGGCGCATTCTGGGATTGCCGCGAGGACCCCGCCTCGCCCCACGTCGGCTCACCCACGTACATCCCCTCAGAGCGCCATCTTGGTGGCTGCCATCTTGCTCCCCGCTCTTCCGCCGGAAGCCCGCGCCTCGCCCCACCCCCAAGTTCATAATCGCTTTAACCAAAGACGGAGTCCTTAGAAGTACACGTATTTATGTACTTTAGAATGGGCTTTCAGATATTATTTAAGGTGAGACCAGACCTTAAGGACAAGGAGCCTGCCAAGCTCAAGGAAAGTAAAGGACACGGAGAGCAAGTAGGTTGCAGTTTACTGTCACTTGAGGATCAAAGGCACCATAAAACACGGAGGACTTCAGCATTTGTTTGCTGTCATATATCATTCTCCCATTTTCCCACTGCTGGAGGAAACCTAGGTTGCAGAATGCGGGTCAATGATCTGCTGACCTGCTGGTAGATGGAAGAGGGGACAGGACAAATTCTAGCTAACATGGTCCAGGAAGGGACATGGTAGGGTGCATCAGCCAGGCTCTGCAGATCTCACCCTATGTCCTTGGGGTATGCCAGCCCCACTCTGTAGTTTTCCTGGGCCAGACCCAAGGTCTGTTTTGACCACACTAGACTTCTGTTCCCCACTAAAGCTAAATGGGGACAGTGGAAAGATCCTACGATAATAGAATGTAATGGGACAGGCTAACACTTAACAGTTCTGCATACTTTGCTTAATTATCTGCTTATAAATAAATCAGGGAAGGCTGAGCTATACTGAAGTTAAGTTCACTGGAACCTTTTCACATCCTAAAGTTATTTCCAGTGAAAACTGGAATTTATAGAATAAAACTGTGGTCAGTGACAAGGGTAAAACGGAGGCAGTTTATGGAGACTTTTTTCTTTATTGAGAAACTTAGGACTTGGGTACATCAAATAAAACCAATTTCTGGGGGGGAAAAAAAATCAAAACCCACAATAGAAAAAAAAAAGTTAACACTGCCTGGGCCATGGTAGAACCCAGAGAATATATGTGTATAATTGAAAAATTCTAGGTGCTTCATAATTTGACCTTTGATACAAAATGACCTATTAAATTTGCAATTTGTGGTTCCTGGTGTTGAAGTCCATAGGACAAGCTAGGAAGTCTTCAAACCTTGAGCTGAATTGAATTCCATGAGGGGATATTTGGCTTTTGAATCCTAAAAAGAAAAGCACCAACACAAATAAATACATAATGAAGGTAATTTCAGAAACTGATTAAAACCTGGGATAAAAGAAGGTATTCTACAACAGGGTTTTCTCAACCTCAGTACTATCAACAGTTTTGTCCACACAATTCTTTTGGGGCTGTCTTGTGCACTGCACTATGTTTAGCAGCATCCCTGGCCTCTACCCACCAGATGTAAGACTCCTGAGGCCCTTGACACAGAGGGTCATGGCAATGCCAAGCCAACCTCTACTAACACACCAGCTCTGGCCCCTAACCATGTGCTTCTTCCTATGCTCGGCTTTTGCTCACTTGATTCTCTATCTGGAAACACCCACCACCAGTTCTAGTCAGAGGTCCTAGTTCAACTTCACTCACCCAAACCCC